AAAATCATGGTTGTCATTGCTTTGATCAGAGTTCTTAAATCTTTCAAGACTGTCTTTCTTTTTAATGTAAGTATCGTCTAAATTATTCTCCCAGTTCTCACTTCTCTCAGCATCAGTTCATATAGTCTTCTCAGGTTTCTCTGAAACCAATCATTTCATCATTTGTCAACGTGCAATAATATGCCTCCTCAGTTTCCAATTCTTTGCTCTATATGTATATGTATTTATAAACATCCAAAGGAGTAGGTAAAAATATGTTTCTACCTATGGGTCCTTTTTCTTCTTTCTTTGATCTCTTTGAGGTATAGATCTAGTAGTGGTATCACTGAGTATGCTCCTGATATTTTTAGGTATAGTTCCAAATTGTTTTACAGAGTAGCTGCACCAGTTCCACCAGTGGGACCAACTTCACTAGCATAGTGCATTTAGTGTGGCTATTTTCCTGCAGTTCCCCCAACAATTTTTACTTTCCCTTTTTTTGATTTTTGCCAGTCAGAGTCACTTTAATTTGCTTTTCCCTAATTATTAGTGATTTGGAGCATTTTTTAAAATATGGCTATTTATAACTTGGTTTTCTTCCTCTGAAAATTGTTCATATCCTTTGACCATTTATCTTTTGGGGAATGGCTCTTGTTCATATAGATTTGAATCAGGTCCTTATATATTTTGGAAATGAGTCTTTCTTCAGAGGAACTTACTGTAAAGTTGTCTCCCCCTGCTCCCCCTTAGCTGCTTCTCTTTTATTTTTAGCTGCTAAAATTGACTATTGACTGCTGGCTATTTTTATACTAGGTTTTGTTTGTGAAAAACCCTTTTTTATTTCATATAATCAAAATTGTCCATTTTATCTTCTATCATCCTCCCTATTCCTTGTTTGCTCATGGATTCTATGTATAGATCTGAAAGGTAATTTCTTCTTTGCTGTTTGTTGCTGATGTGAACTTTTATGTCTGAATCATGTATCCATTTGATCAAGTACATAGTGTTGGTCCAAACCCAGATTTCATCCAGATTGCTTTCCAGTTTTTCTAGCAGTTAATGAATTCTTACCCCCCAGTAGCTGAGGTCTTCAGCTTTATCAAATCCTGTGCTACTGTATTCATATGCTTGTGGATGCAAGGCACCTAATATATTCCATGTATCAGTCACTTTCTTAACCAGCACCAAATCATTTTGATGATTACTGCTTTGTAGTATAGTTTGAAATCAAGCACGGCCAAGCCACCTTCCTCTTCACCTTTTTCCCATTATTTCCTTTGAAATTCTTGACTTTTGTTCTTTCAGATGAATTTTTTCCTCTAGCTCTATAAAATGATACTTTGGTAGTTTGATTGGAACAGCATTGAATAAATAAATTAATATAGGTAATGTTACCATATTTACTATATTTGTTCAGCCTATTCCAGTTATTAAGGTCTGTTGGTTTCCATAGAGTGTTTTGTAGTTTATTCATATAGTACCTGTGTGTGTCTCGACAGGTAGATTCTCAAATATATATATATTTTTAGGCAATTGGGGTTAAGTGACTTGCCCAGGGTCACACAGCTACTAAGTGTTAAGTGTTTGGTCTGAGGCCAGATTTGAACTCAGGTCCTCCTGACTTCAGGGCTGGTGCTCTATCCACTGCGCCACCTAGCTGACCCCCGATTCTCAAATATTTTACACATTCTGTAATTATTTTAAATGGAATTTCTTTTTCTGACTCTTTCTGCTGAGTCTTATTGGTACTATATAGAAATTCAGATAATTTAGGTGGATTTATTTCATCTCTTGATACTTTGCTGAGGTTTTAAACTGTTTCAGTTAAGTTTTAGTTGATTCTATAGGGTTTTTTTAAAAGTAAACCATCATATCATCTGCTGAAAGCAATAGTTTTGTTTCTTTGCCCATGCTTATTATCTTATGTTCTTTTTTCTTGTCTTAGTCCATAACTAGCATACCTAGACTACTATCAAATAGTAGTGATGATATTGGCATCTTCATTTTACTCAACTCTTACTGGATTATCTTTCTTATATATCATACTGGCTCCTGGTTTTAGATAGATGCTTCTAATACATTAAGTTATAATATGTAACAAAGATTCATTTATTCCTATGCATTCTAATTTTTTAAACAGAAATGGGTGTTGGATTTTGAGAGTTTTTTCAACATCTTTAATATATATTGAATTGAATTGAATTCCACACTCATCTTCTTTAAATAGTACTTTTATCATATCTGTCCCATGTCCCCTCTCAGAAAACCAAGGGTTCCTTAACACAACACCAAATCTAAACTTTTATTTCATCCCCTTTCTAACTTTTCCTTAAGAGTTTTATTCAAGTTCTGCATTTTTTTTAGCAAGAACTTTCATGCTCATATCAATCTTCTGTTATGAACTATAAGTAATGTATTTGAATAAGCAGGACCATAGAGGTTTTTGAAGCTGAAAAGGAACTTAAAAGTTATCTAGTTTAAACCTCTTAATTTATAGATGAATGAATAGTCTCAGAGCAAGTGAATTTATCAAGCTTGCTAAACTTAGCCTTTTTTTTTCCTTTTTGGTCTAAGCTTATGGTTTCATTGTACATAGAACTTCCAGTACAGAAATTCTTTACACCAAGGCAAGTCAGCAACCCATTATATTGTTGAGTATCACTTAAGATTTTTAACATTTTGGTTATGTTTTTAGGGAAAGTGATTTGACCTATAGTATTTCCTATTTCACAAGAGAATTCTCCTTTATTTGATATGCCAAGTCATCCTTTGGACTTTATATTTGTGCTAGTTTTCTATATAAAGATTTTAGTCTTATTATTAATATATAAGTTCTCTGAGAACAAGATACTAACTGCCATCACTTCATGTATTTCAAGGGCTACTTCCCTGTGTATCTAAATTGAAGTTTGAGTTGACTTGTTGTGGCAATGTTTAATGTTCCTTATTTACATGGGAATAGACATTTACTCATCACTCCAGAACTAAGCCACACCAGATCTTTCTGGTAGAACCAGATTCTTATCTGAGTGCATAATATCATGTAAAACTTCTTGCTTAATCAGAAGCCAGCCTGGGAACTACCAAGTTAGAATGAATACCCACTATTATATTAACTTTTATGTTACCAATGTCTGTACATAAGGCATTGACACCCACTCTTAATGCCTGTGGGATTCAGCCAGTATTCTCTCTCATAGGCTTGTTGCAAAACCTAGCCAGTCTTAGAAACAGCCTGCCACAACTGGGCTGTTGCTTTAAAAAATGGCATATAGGTTTGTAATAAGTGTTAAGTAATGATAATAATAAGCACAACTACCAAACACTCAGCAATGTCTCTAGGTATTCATCAGGGTTTTATGAAAGCTGAGTTGTTTCTTCATCTCCAGGTGATTTTTTGTAAACTGCCTCTATAAATCTTGAAATGTAAATTGTTCCAAGTGGAATTGGAAATGAACAGTATATCAGCATTTTGTGATTTTAATGCAAAGGTAAACACAGAGGAAGATAGTGAAATATATATTGGAAAGTATGACTTGGGGTTTCACTAAAACAGGCAGAATATATGCTATATATTTGGTACATTGTTTTGGTTTCTCTTTTTTGCTTAAAGAGCTGTTGTTTATTTAACATTACTTATTTATTACAAGGGACGACAGCTAGATGGTGCACTAGATAGAATGCCAGGCCTGAAGTCGGAAATACTCATTTTGCTAAGTTCAAATCTGGCTTCATACTTACTAGCTGTGAAATCCTGGACAAGATACTTACCTGTTTGCCTCAGTCTCCTCATCTGTAAAATGAGCTGGAGAAGGAAATGGCAAACCACTCCAGTATCTTTGCCAAGAAAACTGCAAATGGGTCATGAAGAGTCAGACAGGACTGAAAACAACTGAACAACAACAATTTATTACAAAAAATGCTGCATGTTCATAACACTATAGGCCATTTAAAATCATTAAAGAGTAACATAACTTATTCATGCCATCAAAACACTCACTTCGAAATTAAACCTAGAGCAGATAGGGGCATAAAAGAAAAAAGAAAACAGAATCACATTTATAACTGAAAATATGCCTGCCAGTTCCATCACTGCCCCATTTTCATTCCGATAATTTTAAAAAATGATTTGTAATCACAGAATGTCAGAGTTATAAAGAATCCCAAAGATCAACTAGTCATATACCTGAACAGGAATATTCTTAACCATCTGAAATGTGTTCACCCAGCCTCTTTTTAAAGGCCTCCAGTGAAGAGGAGCTCACTGCTACCCAGTGTGAATGAATGAATGAGTGAAAAGCATTCATTAGGTACTTAGAATTTCTAGCTAAGTGCTGGGGATATCCTTCCCACCCAAATTTTTTAAAAAAGGAAAAAGTAAGACAGTTTCTTAGCAACTCTACTCCCTTAGGTGGACTGTTTTTCCTTATTAAAGTATAAACTCATTTAGGAAAGAGACTACTTCAGGTCGAGAGAGCTTGTTTAAGTATTTTGTTCGGATAATAAACTGGGTTAATTTAGAGTGATTGGCATGTCCTTTCTAAGCAATGACCTAGTGTTGATTCGATTACTGCTCCCAAGTGGTGGAAAGCTTGGTAAATGGGGATAGAGGTGGGTGAGGGATATGAAGGAGTGTGAACGTGGGGAGATAATGGTACAAGAACTACAGTGTGGAATTTGGGTCAGGCTGGATGTTGGAGAAGACTCCCTGATCAGAAACTTGGGTCCCTGGGTGATAAGATAAAATGCAGCTCCTTTCACTTTTAGACTGCTTAAATAAATCTTTTCCCTTATATCCTCTAATGATTCCATTTTCTAATTATGACATTTCAGGAGCCATATGATTAATGAAGATGATCTTTGTTCCTTTTTTAGCATTTGGTAGGAAAAAGGGACCCTTGCATGGCACATGGATTGCTACTTAATCTGTTGTCATTATTTCTCTATTGACATGTATTATTATTATTTTTCTTTCCCTTTCTCTCTGTGATATGCTTAACAATTGAATGAACATTATGAAGATTGCTGTGTTCACTGTATCCTGGCCTGCTTGTTCTGTGAGTTCCTGACCCTCTGCAATATCGTATTAGGACAAGCATCATGTGGCATCTGTACGTCGGAGGCCTGCTGCTGTTGCTGTGGTGATGAAGTAGGAGATGACTGTAACTGCCCTTGTGACATGGATTGTGGTATAATGGATGCCTGTTGTGAATCATCAGACTGTTTAGAAATCTGTATGGAATGCTGTGGAATTTGTTTCCCATCGTAAATATTTATCTCTTATTTTATTTTGTTCAAAACTGGAGTTTTTGTTGTTTTTTAAAAATTCTCCTAAGGGGGGGAAAAGCATCACAAGATTCTCATGAAACAACCCAGTTACTTGCACTGTTTCTTCCCTCTTTTTAAAGAATCTTTGAAAACTCCATATCATAACCAGATGTGTATGGTTTTATGTGTGAAATTGTATATTTTTTTCTTTAATAGATTACTTTAACTAATGGGAGATTTTGAAAGAAAAAAAATTCATTTTTCTCTTACCTCTTACCTAGATTTGTGATAACCATTCCTAGAAGCCTCCTTCCTCCAAACACATTTATTTCTAAATGAGTATTTAAAAAAGAAAATTTATTTTTGTTATTTGTCTATTAATGTTTAAAATGAACTGTTCTTTGTAGTTTAAATTAGAGAGAGCAAACTCAAAGCTGTCTTAAAAACAAAATTGTGGGAACTCGAGTCTCAGAGGCTTTCCACATTTATTACTTGAAGAATTTAGTTTCATACCAAACTTTAGAGGTCAAGCTGAAAACTCTGTACTCTTAATCAATTACAATTAAGTATACATAGCCATTTTAGAGCAGTAAGAAATACAGTATTTAGAAAATAAAATTTGTCAGCTAAGATTTACCAAAATGTGCATCTTGTTATAGCTGATTATAGTATTTTCTGTTTCATTGTGAGGTTTTATGTTGATGAAATTAAAGACTTATGAAGCTGATACAGTATATTCAGAGTTAGGAAATGCCAGTGCCAACATGAGGTGCAGTATTGCGCAGTATTTCTCTGTTTAATTTGAAACTGCTATTTTTTTGTGGGTGTTTTCATTTTTGAAGTTGTTTTGGTTTCTGTTGGATTTTAACCAGTTTTAAAACAACAGATTACATAAAGGACGCTTACTACAAACCATTCGTTAACAATGCAATGAGAATTCCTATTTCTACCATTGTGACTTGACTAGATTTCAAGATTTCCAGTCTTGAAATTAGCCAAGTCATCCACTATACATACCATGTGTAGTTGATACATCCCTTATGTATGAAGAAAGTAGGAAAAGACAAGGAGAGTTATAGCTGATTTGAGACTTACAACTTTTGAGTATGTTCTGTTAGAATGAGGAGTATGTTTTCCTACTATGTGTTTCCTGCTGGTGTCTTGATTTTTCCAGATTGCTAAGTTTGGTTTCGTGTAATTTATTTTGTAGAGGTTATGGAAGTACACTTTTGGATTGATATTTCTTGCTAGGTATGTAATTTATTGCTTGCCCCATTCCCATTCCCCGTTGTTGTCCTTTATAATCGAAGAGGACCAAAATGACATCACAATGTCGGATCAGTGTACAGTGTGTCTGACTGTGGCTGATCAGACGAATTAACTGGCCACTTTTCAGTCACCTTTAGATAGCCTTTTAAAAAAGACATTGCTACATTGGTCTTGGAAATGCAGGACCACAGGCTTCAAGGACAGAAGTGCCATCTGTTACCATGTGCTTTTCATGAGACATAGTTGATAGTTATTTCATGTATCATTGATGTTGTTGTTCAATGATATCCGACTCTTTGTGATCCCATGGACCATACTGTCCATGGGGTTTTCTTGGCAAAGATACTGCAGTGGTTTGTCATTTCCTTCTCCTATGGGTTAAGGCAAACAGAGGGTTAAGTGACTTGTCCAGGGTCGCACAGCTAGTAAGTGTCTGAGGCTGGATTTGAACTCAGGTCTTCCTGACTCCAGGCCCAGCGTTCTACCCACTGAGCCACCTAGCTGTCTTATTTCATGTATTGCAGAACTTAAAATAAGCAAAACAGCAACAACAAAGTGTCTTCACTCCCACTTGTAACGCATTTTACAAACTGAGGACTTTTGAGCTATTGAATTTAAAATAGAGGGCTAATAAACATCCTTTTCCCCTCTTTTCCTAAAGAATGCCTTCTATTTGTTTAACCAAATATAAGAGCTTTGTAGTATTTTATACATAATCAGAATCTCAATATTTATATGTACCCATATACTCACTAGATATATGAAACATTACAGATTATGAGTATCATCTGTATAGGCATATAAAGTCTCCTAATGACCTGGAATTAGATGATGAGTATCATCTGTATAGACATATAAAGTCTCCTAATGACCTGGAATTATGGGATTATTTCATTTTTTTTCCTGAAAATAATTTTTGACTGAGTGATATCTGATATTTAAATGTATTCTGCTATTTTCTATAGAAATATCAGCACTTTTGTAATGTATATCTCTGTAGCAGAGAACATTAGTTGGATAGTGGAATCTCATTTTTATATTCTCAAAATTCTCTTTTGTCTACTTCAGACAATCATTTTGTAAGCACCTTGCGTAATAAAAATGAAGCAAAAATAAAAGTAGATAAATGTGAACTTGTACTTTTGAGCACCAGTTTCAGAATTTCTATGTACAAAATGTTCTGTTGGATACTATGGAAATTGTGATTAAGTTCTGTAATTTACAGTTAAAGGTTTTTTTTTTGAGGGGATTTCTAACCCCCTTTTTTAAAATTTGGTAATACTGTCTTTGAATTTTATATTAACTGGATCTTGTATTATCCTAAAGAACACTATTTTGAAATGAAAGAAACAACAGCTTTATGTTGAATCATTGATATATTTTCATGTCAACCTGTTTAACTGATTTTTGTTTTCTCTTTTAATGTTTTTCATTATGATTTAAGACTAGAAGTTTCGTTTTATCCTGTTACTTTTTTTTTCTGAAGACTGACTTTGTTGGTTGTGTCACTCAAATGGGACACATGGACATAAATGAACCAGTGGGGACAAACAGCCGTAGTGCATTCGAACATTAGAAGTTTGCTTTATTTAAAAATCGATCATAAATTTGTATAAACTGAATTTTACTTGGCAAATTTTCTCATGATCAACTTTAAAATCTCACCTTTAACTTATTAAAAAGCTAACTTTTACTGTATGATTAAGTAGACTGATTGTTCACAAGTAGTACATCTTGAGTGTTAGGTTTAATGGATCTCATGAGAATGAAAATCATCAGAAATGTTCAAATTATTCTAGAGGATTCTCCATTACATTATATAAATAATATTTAACTTGTTATCTTAGGATAGTTTGGTGTTTGACTAAGCAAATGATCAAACTCACTGCTTTAGGAAACCCTTGACTTTACCTTAGAGAATAATAATTTTGATGTTTGTTATATTACTATGGATAAACTAACCCTGTTCACCTGTAGTAGGCTTTTACTTCACCTTAGCACTTTTTTCTGGACTAGACATTGGGAACTAGTTGAATGATGCCACATTTGTAGGAGATTTTTAGTGGAGTGACCCTCGGGGATCTATGCTTGGTCTCCTGCTATTTAACATTTTTATCATTATGCAATAATGCATGAAACCAAAAATGGAATTCTTATCAAATAGCAGATGACACAAAGCTAGGAGAGATAGCCAACAAATTTGATGACAGTTATGATCCAAAAAACAAAACAAAAAAACAAAACCCACCAACAGACCAACAGACTAAAACTTAAGGCTGAATCTATTAAAATGGAATTTAATAAGTACAAATGGTTGGCAAGATAATTTATTAGAGGTTAGAGGTCATCTAATATAGTGCCACCTATTATTTTAAGAGAGGAGGAAGTTGAGGCACAAAGAAATTAAATCAACTTGCCCAAAGTCATTTGGGGAGTTAAGTGGCAGAATCAGGATTTGAAACTAGACTCTCTGATTCCAAATTCTGTGCTTTTTTCCCCCAATACATTTTGATCCCTTTTTAATACTTGAGTTCACATCCACTCACAGATACAGAATGGGGGGAGGTCTGGCTAGTTAGCGATTCATCTGAAAAAACGTGGAATTAGTTTAAGGGGATTTCAAGTCAGTAGAAGTCAATGGTATGATGTGGCCATCGAAGAAGCTAATGAAGCTTTTGTTGTCGTTTAGCCGTTTTACTTGCATCTGACTCTTCGTGATCTAATCTGGGGTTTTCTTGCCAAAGATACTGGAGTTATTTGTCATTTCCTTCTCCAGTTCATTTTACAGGTGAGGAACTGAGGCAATTAGGGTTAAGCGGCTTGCCCAAGGTCACACAGCTAGTAAGTATAAAACCAGATTTGAACTCAGGACGATGAGCTCCTGACTACAGGCCCAGTACTCTATCCAGTGTACCACCTAGCTGTCCATAATGAAACTTTAGCCTTTGTTGAGAGGTACAGAATCCAGAACTATTGAGTAGATAGTCCCACCATATTTTGCTTTGGATAGACCACATTTGTAGTGTTGTGTTCAGTTCTGGACGCTACATCTTTTTTTTTTTTTTTAAAGGCAGTTGGGGTTAAGTGACTTGCCCAGGGTCACACAGCTAGTAAGTGTCTGAGACTGAATTTGAACTTGGGTCCTCCTGACTGCAGGACCAGTACTCATCTACTGAACCACCTAACTGTCCCTTGGACACAACATCTTAAGAGAGACATTGATGTTGTAGAAAGTATATCAGCAACAGTTAAATGAATTAAGGATGCTTAGATTGAAGTTAAAAGTACTAAAAGAAAAGACATGTTAACTGGATTGAAGTATTTAGAAGGGGGAATAGATCTGTTCTTTTTGGCCCCAAAGAGCAAGGACTAGTATCAACAATTAGAAGATGCAGAGCCAAATTGAGGCTTGACCGAAGAAGGAAAATCTTCCCAATGAGTCCAGTTAGCCAGAAATAGAACGGACTGCCATAGCTGGGAGGGAGTTGACCATTTCTAGCTCAGTCTCGTTTTCATAATATAGCAAATGAGGATAATAATAATGCTTATCTCAGAGTAACAAAGATCAAATAAGATAAATTGTGACAGTTAAAAAGTTCAAGAGTAATTAACAATCATTTTATTAATTATGGCTAGTGGATAATTAACAAAAAGTCATTTGACTGTCTTTCGTAAACCAAAGACCCCTCATAGAACCCCCTTAATGCTTATATTTCTTTGGAAGACTAGGTGTTCCTGGAGGTAAAAATCAATTCTAGTTAACAAGTAATGAGAGAATGAATATTATAATGAGAGGTGGGCTTATTCTAATGAGGATCCGGGGGACATAACTCTATAGTCAAAGAGAGTTATCTGTACCCACACCACCCCGTCTAGGGTAATCTAGACAAAAGGGGGACTCTACCTCCCTCCAGACCTGTCTGACTAAAACACAATGGGCCAGAATTCACCAGTTCACCTAGATTAGAATTTCTTTACCTTTTGATCAGACCTGAGTTTTCCCAGTTGGCTGCATTTCGGCTAATATTTCATATTATCATCAACACTTCCCTTCAAAGGCTGACTAGATAACCTATAGGGGCTGATTTCTGAATGAGGAGATAGGAAGGGGAAAAAACCTTAGTCCTAATTTAATAATTTGTTATTAATAAAGAGAGAAATGATCATTTCTCTCAAAATGTAGAACACATTGCAAACCTTAAAGCTAAATACTAGCTAGCTATGACTAAGTTCAATTTTGTATAAATCAAATGCTTAACAATCATAAAATTTATGTAGAAGTCTACAAATTGCATGGATTTTCTTCTTAAATTCTAAGTAAATGGTTGTTACCAAGTTGTAAAATGGGTTATTCCTAAAGAATACACTACTGTTTCCAACCCATTCTAGAACTCACCTCCAACCATCCTTTATAATGAATTTTTTTTTAACAAAACAGTTCAGAAAAATTAACCAACATGTAAAAAAACAGTATGACATGATATGCAGTGTTCTACACCAATGGTCCCTTTCCTTTGCCAAGAAAAGAGGGAGATACTTTCTCATATCTCTTCACTGGGGCTAAGCTTGATAATACATAAAATTATTTGTTAATTATAACCACACAACCAGAACCAGTAGATTTTCTTTCAGCATTCAACTAGATTGTGGATCCCCTTCCCTCCCCTCACTTTTGTCTGAGAAGAGACCTTTAAACAACATATCCATACTCCTGTTACCTTCTATTCATGTGAAAGATTGTGAATTGTGAATATAATTTGAGGGTAATCTTGATATCTCTTCTTAAT